CATGTGTATTAAAAGGTGGGATCTAAGTAGAATGGAACTTGTCCAATCGTTGAATAACGCACACAGAGATTGGATCTTGGGTTTGTGTATGATCAATTGTGGATCCATCATGGTCTCAGGATGTCGAGGAGGAGTTTTAAAGGCATGGTCTGTATCAAAGGATCAAGGAGGGGAATGTGCTCCGATAGGTGAAGTTCGAGCACATGGTTCCGCGATCAATGCTGTAACAACTAATCAACAGCATGTTTTTACTGCAAGCAAGTTAGTATATGTATATTTGTTTATACATATTATTATCTATACCGAACTGATCCGAAGCATACTAAAACTTGGATCAATTAAAACTATTCTTTAATTTTTCCCTAACGTTAAATATTTTATCTAATGAGCTTAAAACGTGTGCTTGGGTTCAGCATATCTATAACTATTTCCTTAAATAGAATAACATCGTGAATATTGATTACAGCTCTGGAGAAGTGAAGCTGTGGCGTATTCCCGATTCCTCGCTAACCATGTCTATTTCCACAGTTTCCCTTTAACTTATTTTTCTATATTATTGCATTTTATTCTTTTGCATTTATAGGTTGTTGATGTGGTGGCGCGCATGCTTATCGAAACACACTTTGTTGATATCGAAAAGTGTGTGAACACGTATATCTGTCATAATTGTAAGGAACAAATTTGTAAACTACTCGAACGATAAATGTTGCTAAGAACGAGTTTATCGAACATGAAAATTTAATTTAACTTTTTCGTTCCTTTGCTTCTATGTGTTTACACTCCATTTTGGTACTTTGCATGGTCATCGTGTCGACGTGAAGTGACGGAACGGTCAGGCTGTGGAGCTACTATAAGAAAGATGCAAGAACTTTCCAGAGAAGCAACTCGTTGAAAAGCTAATACATGCACCTAGTGAAATATTGTATTCATTTCGTAACTATAATTTTTTATTTATTTATTAATTTGTATTAATTTATGACACAATAGGAGATTAATAAATAGAATTTGAAACGATAATGCACCTGACTTATTGCTTATTGGAATATTAATTTTTTACATTTTATGTTGGTAAACGTACGTCAATGTATTTTTGCCTTTAAGTGACTTTGGTATTTAAATTTCAAAGCGACATTATACGAGAAATTGAGTGCATTATCGTGATACGTCTATGCGTAGAATTTAAACAAAGTTACTTAATAAGAATGACTTTGGTATTATCTAGCATTTATTTTATTATGAACATGAAGGTGGTAATAATTATATTTACTCTTAGTACAAACAATAATTGTTGATTAATACTGTACAGTCTGAGGTCTCTGTAGGTCCCAAATGCTTGATATTGTCAGGGTTGGCTGTTATTTAGTTTTCTTCTAAAAATTAAAACAGTATTATGTCTAATTATGTTTATAATTATAAAGAAATAAACAAACTAATAATATTAGATATAGTCTTCTTTAAATAAATTACATTTATTTCAATTTGTATGCAATATAAGTATAATACAAATACAAAATGTGTGTAATACCTCTTCTTCTTTTTGTGCGCTGTTAATGATTCTTGACCACTGTCGTCTGCGCTTTCATCTTCCGATTGACTACTACTACTACTGCTCGAAGAACTACTCGATGAACCACTGGAAGAATCACTAGCAACGCCCGTATCTTCCTTTACATCTATAGTTTCAGCTAATGCTGCCAGTTCTGGCTCTTTATCCCTGAGAACTTTTAACCATTTACGCGATAATTTTGGTCTTCCCCGTACCTGCACAACAATTATCGATACATCTTTAAAATCTTGAAATTATATAGATGCCACATATGTTTATTTTAGATGTATTATTTCCAAAATTAAGGTACGATTTATTGAACTGCAATATTTGAGAATGCGTCGAGTCTTACCGTCTTATGCCAAACAACTGGAAAATTTGTGCGGGAACAAAAATTTTGTGTAACTGCTATAGTTTCATCGAGATTTAAAACAACATGCCACCAACCACCAGGAACAAAGACAGTTTCACCAGGATTTTGCAAGATCTCTATTGGCAAACAATCTTGTGGCCAGGTAGGTAGCTTTGTACGAGGATAAATCATGGAAAACCATGTGATGGCTTCGTCCCTTTGTTTACCACCCTCGGATGCAGACACCTTGAGAAGTTCTCGAGGGGTATGAGTAGGAAATAGACACCATCGCTTGTGTCCAGAAATCAACGCATTCCAGGCACTTGTCCCTAATGGATCTATATGTATACCTGTACCTGTACGTACAATATTTATTTGTAACATGTTCATAAGATGTTTATATAATGTAACAAAGGTACTCACCAGATCTCGCGGGTCCCATAACAAACCAACGATACGGTGGTCTTCGATGTTCACCGGCAAATTGAAAAAGGTCATCGCGGAAATATTTAGGGATAACGTAATCTTCTAGTAACTTTTTTCGTCTTGGATGTTCACCAAAGGAACTATCGAAGATGTACAAAGGCGAGTCGTCGTCGTTATTAAGCATATAACGTACATAGTACTTCATCTTCATTTTAACGCTATATCCTTCGTTATCTTCTCCGCATTTAAACTTTTGATTCCTGTATTTCTTTACTAACCTCTGTAATTTGATAGAAAATTATTTAAAAAATCTTGCTATAACGTATCTTGCATGTTAACTATACATATAAGACGTGCTTCTCTAATTATGAACCTCTATAGTCCACTTGTACTGGGCTTTCCAGCTATTTTGAACACCTTGTATTATCACAGGTTTGTAAGGTTTCTCGTATTTTTCTATAAATTCCTCTGCAGATACTTTGGATTCCTCTATACGATCCACGTTGTCTGCGACATTCCAAAAGGACTCAAATTTTTTATTGTAGCCATGTTGAGTCCAAGTTGCTTTATCTCCGAGTTCTAAAAAAAGCATTTACCTTTCAAATAAATTTTCAAGTGGCATTTTAAGAAGAAGATCGGGACACCTTATAAACAGAAATATATAAAGTATATGGTATAAAAAGACCAAAAGTTTGATTAACATTGAAATTTGTTACGATATTACCGATACTACATAATAAAAAATACTTTATGCTTATACAACGATTGAAACGATAAACTATTTACTTGTAAGTACATCATAATATAGTGTTATATTATCATAATACTTTGAGTAAATTTGGAGTTACATCATCCAAGGTCGGCAAAGACAGTTCGTTCTTGAATCGTATTTTCCAAATTCTGTTTATAACGACGAGGTCGCAAGAAGACAAACGGTCTCTCAATTACTTCTAGTCATACTATTAATATAAAATAAAACGTGAAGAACAATTGTTTTGTTACAATTAATTTAAGCCCATATCACGTCAACGTATAGGTTATCAATTAGGTTATAACATGTTTACCTGGTCTTGCCTTTCTTTTAACCTCTTTGATTCTTTTTTTTGCACGGTGATCTAATTTCAGTTCATCCGTCATGGCTACACTTTTGTTATATTACCTAATTAACCTACTTTCGGTATATTTACAATTTACAAAACAAGAAATATACGCAACACGTCATTCAATCATTCAATGGTAACTGTACTTTTTAGTTTGCATAAATCCCGTCAGGGTGTACGTGTATCCAAAACATTGTCCTATAGTTTGACGTGTTTTTCATTCAAGAACATTCGGAAATATGTTAAAGAAGACGCAAATTTTTATATTAGATTTCGTATTACCAACGAAATGTACTCGGTGGTACTCTATGTGGTGTTTTATGCACTTTCGCTTGTCGTTAAGTTTCAACATGAAAATTAGACATGGCCATTGCTAGTATGGAGTATCTGTATCTGCCTACGTGACAAATGTCATGTAGTCATCTTTTACCAATAGATTCAGTTCACCTCTCTTGGATGCATATAATTATATCTCTAGAAAAGGCTTGTCCGTTGCACGTATACATGTATGCATTTACATACATACCTATCGCATGCACGCATTACCTCTTTATTCGAAAAAGGAAGACTATGTTTTGTAAGGAAAGAAACGTACGGGCTGGACATTTAAGTTTCTATCGTTTACGTTCTAACATTTTTCTAATCCCAATTGCATTATCAAATTTCTTCATCGTGTCGTGACTCCGTGACAAATAATCTATAATTGCATCGATACATCGAGTCAATCATAACGATTCGAACGATTTCACTTATGCGAGGAATCAATGAGCAAAATCCTGTTTAAACAACAACAAGAAAATTCTATCCGCGATCGAAAGTTCGAAAGTTCAATGATTCGCCGAGTAACAGTAATTCATGCCGCATAAGGGGAAACTCACCACTTTTGGCTACCCCCTCTTGTTTGCTACAAGCTAATAGAAGCCGAATAGGAATCGCATACGTAAATGCTCGATAAAACTGGAACTTAGAGATCGCATATATGCGAGACCAAGTTTTCGTGAGTTTCGGGGGTTTCGAGTAAGGGGAAATTAAAGTTGGTGACATTTCCTTGACACGGCATGAATCGTGTCACCGGGTGTTTCCGTGACGCATGCGTAGTGATACAAGTTGGCGCGGAACACCCGGATGTGCTGCCGCGCGAGCACGATACGGTAGACGGGTAGAAGGAAGAGGCATGACGCCATGTTTTGATGTCGTCATCCCCCCCCAAACCGCTGTTTCCCGAGCAGCACAATAGTCTGTCAGTGTTTTTCTGTTGTGTGCCTCGTGTTCCGTGTTCCTGGTGGCCGTTTTGGCGTGCTTCTTTGGTCAGGTCCACCGTTGCGTCCAACTTGGATGCTCGTCTACGCGTCTGCGACGCTCATCCTCGTGGGTTGACGCTCGCTGAAGGTGGCCCCCTTGGTGATTTTTTCATGTCCGGGCAGGTAACCGCGAAGCGGGGGGGTCCGCTGAGCGTCGTCTACGTGGTGATAGTGTCCTAGTGCGGAGAGAACAAGTAAACGACGATATCCTCTACGGAACGATAGATCCGAGTGGTTACGTCACACGACCCTGAACTGGGCTTACGGAGGAAACGCTTGGCCAAAGAAGTTGACGGCGAGGACGACGGGGACGAGGACGACGAACCTGTTAAAATGGAGCTACGCCTGCACTCGCCAGCCGGAGCAGAACCGATTGTCTATCAATGGCCCCTCACCTCCGGATCCGGATCTGTGAGTACACTTTTCTTCGTTTATCCGTAAATACTATTCTACTAAATTCCACTATCCTACAATTCAGTACAGACGTATATCAAATATTTCTCCTTTCTCCGTTCTCCGTTCTCCGTTCTCCATTCTCCGTTCTCCGTTTTCCGTTTTCCGTTATCTATTTTCTGTTGCTGTCGTCTTTGAGACCCCCGAGTAAGATACACAAAATATTGTGCTTACGAGTTTATTGTGTCCACGACATGTATACGATTTACGATTTACGAATTACGATATATATGTATATACATGTATTCAACATGAAAATTTGGCATCCACGATTCTCTCATTTATCCCCTATTCTCACAGCTGATTGTACATTTATCGTGCAACGCGAATATTTTCCCCGCCAGCACTTTCTTACTCGAACATGTCTCGAATTCTTGGATCTTTATTACCGCGTTTATCGTTAGTAAATGCTATATACATGAATATTAATTGTCAGTTGTAAATACTTGGTACGTATACGTGTACGTAACGGACGTATCGGAAAGCGACAGAGCTGAGTAAAATATGCCTTTGAAATAATATTGTGCAAATTACTATTATGTATTATTATCTACATCGAAATATGTACATTGTTTATAAACTGGAATTTCCTTGTTATTCTACATGTTTTTTTGTAAAATAAAAAGAAAAATTTCCATTTTAACCAGAGCGAGTAATTTCTGTATATCCCTCACTAGTTAAACTACTTTATATACCGATCCATTTATAATATTAGTATAGATATCAAATGCTTTGAAAACAATTTAAACGAGCTGTATTTATTAATAAATTATAGGATCGTCATGATGGAGCACTGGATGTCGTTGAAACAATGCGATGGGTTTGCGAAGATTTGCCAGATTTGAAATTACCTTTAGAAAATAATATTCTTTGCGAATACGATACAAGAGACTTTGAGAGCATGAAAAGTTTATGCGACAAATTCAATAGGGCAATCGACAGTTTAGTTCAGTTGGTGAGTGTAGTGCACGTAAAATAAGAAACTAATGTGCTTGTATAATAATTGAATGCTATTGCGATTTGATTGTTTGTTTCGACAACTGAATATAAACTGATACAGGAAAAAGGTACTAGTCTACCATCTCAAAGGCTGAATAAGCGTCCTAGTCGAGGTTTATTACGACATATACTTCAGCAGACATACAATCAAGCAGTAGTCGAACCAGATAAATTAAATCAGTACGAGCCATTTTCACCAGAAGTATACGGAGAAACCAGTTACGAGCTTGTTTGTCAAATGATCGATCAAATCGATGTGACGGAGGACGATGTGTTTGTCGATCTGGGATCCGGAGTTGGTCAAGTAGTGTTGCAAATGGCAGCAGCAACGTTATGTAAAATTTGTATTGGCGTCGAAAGAGCCGATGTACCATCAAAATATGCACAAGTATGTTATCTTTTTAACGCGTCTTCGATGGTATAGTTTGGTTGATTGCAATTCTTTATACGTATAGGTCTTATTTCTTGTCTCATTTTTGTTAAACATTAGAGTATGGAAATAAACTTTCGTAAATGGTTGAATTGGTATGGAAAAAGATGCGGCGACTATCGTTTGGTAAAGGGCGATTTTTTAGCCGACGAACACCGCGAAAGTATTACCGGAGCTACGATTGTATTTGTTAACAATTTTGCCTTTGGCCCGACGGTAGATCATCAACTGAAAGAACGATTTGCCGACTTGCGCGATGGTGCGCGCATAGTGTCGTCAAAATCATTTTGCCCCTTGAATTTTCGCATAACAGATAGAAATCTGAGCGGTAACGTATTTCATTTTTCAGTACGAAAAAGAAAAATACAAGTCAATAGATGTAAGATGTGTTAGATTTCTTTATTTCTTTTATAGATATCGGCACGATAATGCATGTCTCGGAAATGTCACCGCTAAAAGGTTCCGTCTCTTGGACTGGTAAACCAGTGTCTTATTATTTACATGTAATTGACCGTACCAAATTAGAACGTTATTTCCACCGTTTAAAGAATAATAAACAAGGTGGCGATGAAAACTGTGATTCTGTGATAAGTAACACTGCCAGCAGTAATAATAAGATTACGAGTAGGGGAGAGAGAGGCGACAGAGCCAAACGAGACCTTTCGAGGCAGCTAGATAGTCCAAATCATTCAGAGCAACAAGGGACAAATAGCGATTCTGATGGAGATGAGAATAATATTAAAAGTCGTCGACAACCGAACAAAATTCGCAGAAAATTAAATCGAAAGGCCAACAGTATTACAAGACCTCCAGCCAGAGGTAGACAGAGAGGAAGAGGTGTGAAAAAATCCAAGCCCAAGAAAGCAATTAATATTTCTGGTCTGGACTTGCTGCATAGTCAAACATTACTTAGTACATCTCCGCAGGCTTTGGGGAAAAAACCGCCACCAGCGCCTGGTTGCGTGGATCAACAGCTATCGTCGTTATCGCTCTCTTTGCAGTCACATTCCACCTCTGTACACGAAGAACTTAGTATACCACCTGCTCCGTCCGCCACACCATACGCTTTACAGATACTCTTGGACTTGTACAGGTATGTTTACGTTTACGTTTACGTTTACGGTTGTTTTTATAACACGGGACATGTCAACGATAACTAGCATTCATACAACATTATTTACTTTTTGCAGGGACCAATTTATGCTCATGTTGGAATCGATGAGAACTCCTCAATACAGAGTATCGATCAATACTGATATTGCAAAAGAAAGAGAAAGAAATTCCAAATTACAATCAAGAGCAGCGCAATTAGAGAAACAGATCAAAGTGTTAATCGACGATAGCGTAGCTCTTTTGAAAGCAAGAATGACTGAATTAGGTATAAATGCTACATCACCTGGAGATTTACTTGCTAAAGCTAAGGAAATAGTTCTTCGTCATAAGCAATTGCAAGCAAAAGCAAGTAAATTACAAGCTCAAGTTGCATCTATGGAAACTGAGCAATCAAGGTTGACTGCGCTTAGACATCAAGAATTACAAGAAAAATATAGCAATCTCTCGAACGCGAACGTCATATCAAATCCACCACAGCCGCTCACGCAAGATTACATATTGAAGGAAATATCCGCGACTCTGTCTCAACGTAAAAGATTACATTGTCAGGTTAGTGTCTATATAGGGTGATTTTAGAATCTGGGACATGGAGACATAGAGACATGTAAAACATTTAGATGTATAACTTTAACTTTGACAAATTTACAGGTGTCCAAATTGGAACACGAGTTGAATGTTTTAGAAAGAGCAAGCAGCGAGAAGCAAGTCGCTGCGATTGCTCAACAACAGAGAGAAGCGGTAGGCGTTAAGCATTCGCAGAATCAACATCACCATCAACAACAAAATGGTAAAAGTGGATCTACGCGAAAGAGTAGAGAAGGACGATCTAGGTCACAAGAATGGCCCGATGTACCTGACATTGGAAAGATACAAGAGAACAATCCGGAAATATTGGCGCAAAAGATTTTGGAAACGGGCAGACAAATAGAAGCTGGTCGAATGTTGAGTAGGCAAAATACTAGTTCGAGTAGCAATTCCAGGACCAGACTGCCACAAGCATCCCTTAGCTTTTCTACTACTTCGTCGTCTATTTCATCTTCACAATCACAGACAAATAACAAAGAAACGGCAAATAGAACCCAAGAACCCCCCAGGGTTGCAAATTTCGAAGATAGATTAAAGAGTATAATTACAAGTGTCTTGAACGAGGATCAACAAAATAGAAATAAGCAACAGCAAATGCAGCTACAGGTGCAATTACAAAGTCAGAATGAGCCAGATAGAAAACGTATCGCGTTGCCACACAACGTATCTACTCCCGATTACACGCAGGTAAATTTTATCATTTAAAACCTAAAATCATATTTCCATTATCCTTTGGAAATCATGTCTTCGATAATATAAATTTTAGTATGCCGTACAAATGAATATCACTTATACGTTGCATTGTAGGTTTCACCTGCAAAATTAGCACTTCGCCGTCATCTATCTCAAGAACGTCTTTCATCTCACTTAACACCATCTGATAGGCCAACAATCGACTCCAGACAATCGAGTCATGACAATCGTATTGTAGCAGGAGGAAATGGATTACTTGGTACTAGGACGATCGGTGATTTGGTCAGTGGGGAGATAGAGAGGACTTTAGAGATTTCCAATCAGTCAATAATAAATGCAGCCGTTGATATGAGCGCGATGATAAGACCGGAAACTGTATATTCTCCTATCAGTAGACCAGCCAGCGCAGAGGGTGATGCTGGTTTATCAACTCTTGCGCATGTGGCTAGTTACGCTCCAACTTCTTCTGCTATTTCAACATGCACTACAGCTGCTTCACGATCATCAGTATTGTTCACTCCAGTAACTCAACCGCAAAGGTATTGTGTACCACGCTCATGGAACAGTACAAGTAAATACGATATTATAATTATAATTTATTATAAATCTTCTTTTACTTAGATACACGCCAGTTCAGTTACCACGCGCAGACATCAAACCTTATCACGAATCATATTTCTCTGACAATCCTTCTCAGTCTCTTGCACAAACCCATCCTCCGTCATCGATGCATGCATCGCAAACTGCATCGAATGGTGAACTTTTGCCGGTAGAAGGACTGGCAGCGTCTTTACATGCTCGTATATTAAATAATCACAACACTAAAACCGAGTCGATGCTTTCTACAAATAGAAGGTATGGGTATCTTGAGTTGTTATTATTATTATTATTATTATTATTATTATTATTATTATTATTATTATTAAGAAGTTTTCATTTTGAATACTATATCCGGCGTGTATTTGTTTTTTGATAGATTTCAACCATACCCTCGGTACGCAACCAGTAGTAACAGTAATGGCAGTACAACAACAACAAATGGTATTGTAACAGCCATTTGTCAATCTCAGCCTTCGATGTCAATAAAAGCAGAGTCAATCGTGTCGTCGATAAGCACAAGCGGAGCGCCGTTAAGTCCTCTTGTAGAACCACACTCTAATACATCTACACCGTTAGTCGATGAACCTCAAATGACAACGCAGAGACAACGAAATGGTATTGGTGACGATGGTAAGCGAAACATCTGATAGGTTTATTTTATACCTTCTACTATACAGTTAGTTGTGCCACAGTATTAGATTAGGTAATGCTTTGGAATGTAGTCGTTCAAGTTGTCAAATGTGTTTTTTATACCGACTAAGAGAAAATACATTAGAGTATTCGAAATTATTAGAGGCATATAAACGAAACATATTCGTATCTTCGATGAATTAATTATGGAAACACAACTATGTTTCGATTCCTCTAAGTAACGCGTATTCATAGTAAGTATGCTAAGAGTATGATTTTATCAATTACACCGGTAAATATTCCTTTATATCTTTGCTATAAAAACCTTTTACTAAACACTCCGCTTTATCTTTATAAACACTGTTGTATTAGTTTCTGCTATGCATCCTTAATTATTTCTTATGCACTAATGGTTTAAGATTGTTAACTATGGTTTATCTTATCTTACGGAGTTGGTACCTGATCTTTATTTATATTTATTTTTGTTGTTGTTTGCTGTATTTGTTAGATGCACTGTAGCTGTTTGTTGGTTAGCTCTGTCTGTCACATACTCAGTCTCACTCGCAACCCTTGAAGCTTGTTTTATTAGAGGTTGAGACCCAAATCAGAGGGAGAAATGAAAAAGTACGGCTGTCTGTGGGTTGGTTCGTGGTTGCTGGTGAGTTGTCCCACAGGGGTTGTTCAAACATTTTTTTCCTTTGTTTATTATTGTTATTGCAGCCATTCGATATACAAAGATCAATATTCTCTTAGTATGTTTTAGGCGAAAACACAATTAATATGTACATAAAGAGAGTATAAAGTGTTAGATAAAATATTTTCATGAAAATAAGCCAGACTCTAATAAAGTTCAATGTTCATAGCATACTTGTATAAATATAAAATTCAGAAACAAGTGAAACAAAATAGTGGAAAATGTAATGTTTAAAGAACCACGCAATGACTGTCTAAGGGACCCCAATGAAAATTTGCGAATTTTTAATCATCTCTAGGTCTAAATCATTTAACTTCATTTAATTCAAGATAACCTAACAAGATGTGACTTCGATATAGAATTAGAAAAGTATGTTAAATAATTTAAATGGGGATTACTCTATATACATATACGGCAACGAATTTATAATGAAATAAGAAAAATTGATGGAACCCAGGTGATCCGATTAAAAGTTAAATAAAACAATCGCATTTAAGTTAATGGTTTTTATCTTGTGTGTAATTTCTTTTTTGCATGCTCTTTTGCATGAAATCATAATATATTGAATATGATCAAATGTAGTATGTATATTTTGTACGTGATGTTTAAGAAGCAATAAAGCGAATATCAGAAGGTACTGTAGCCGACACATACACGTAGTGTATTAGTATTACAATCATAATTTGTCAATCGTACATACTAACTACATAATGTAATAAAATTTTGTAATATTTGTTATTTGTGACTTATGAATTGTGAATTAAACGTGTTCGAATACATCTATAAATAAAGAATTACACGCAATGATTTAATGCTTAGAAAATATTCGTATTATACGCTTACTGTATTTACGTAATTCATAGGGGTTTATTGGCTTATTTTTATGTAAATGTCTCGTGCAATCCAACAATTCGTAAACGGTGTAGTAGCGAAACGAACTTTTTTTCTTTTTTGCAGATGGAGAGGCTGATTGGCAAGACCGTATCAGTTCTGGATTCGACAGATTGGTTGCATTTGCTTCCACCGAGCTAGATAAGCGAAGACGATCCACGGAGGGTGTGAACACAAGTCCTGACAGCGGTTTAGGATCAGACAATACCGTAACTGGACCTCCACCGGTGATTCCATCGCCAGATGAAGCGCTGGGTCCTCCTCGCACACCATCGCCGACCAGCCCTCGGCCACCGAATCCCTCCAACAGCAACACAAGTAGTACGTCTTCCGTGCCACTAAAGTATCAACGGCAATCGGATCCTGAACGACATCATTTTAAGAAAAAGTTCTTTCATAGAGATTGGAATAACTCTGGAAGTACCAGTAAGTTTCGTCCTAAAGGCAAGGATTGGGATTGGAATCATTCGGGACAGTGGCCTTCGAATGACGAACAATCTTAATCTTCCTTTTGTATTGTATCTTTGAATTTGAAGCTTTTAACGATTTCTCTTACGGTTGTTAGGTTTGCAGAATTGAGAATGCCGTCTGCGTTTCTTGGTTGCGGATGAAATGTATCATTTCTTTTAATGATAGAAATGTTATTATCCCCTCTCTCGTAATATGGTTAAAATAATTTTTAATTACCGAACTCGCACATTGTAGTAGTACTACATTGCGTGCTCGACTCGAACGCGACATGTGTTCGAATCGAATTGTTTTTATTTTCTGCTGATGCAACGTTTAATTGAGCATCCGTAGAGCTCAATACCTTGTTTTATAGTCGGCAATATATATTTATTTAGTAGAAAAAAAAAAATGAAAAGAAAAAAAAACACACACAAAAAACGTTACGAGGCTAAATGTACTGCGAAATTGAAATTATGATTTCAATGGTAAAACAATTATGTAATATATAGCGATATACACGCGTATATTGAAAAGTGAAGGGTCAAGGGAATGTAAAACGCACTGTTACATATTACTCATTGATAAGTAATTCAACTTAATATTATTAGTCACTACAATCTTTTGGTTAAACAAAAATTTTAGAGAATAATCATTATCGATTCGGTATATGGCGTATGGTGAGAATGTGTTTGCCTTCATAAATATTTCCTATACATCATAGAGATTATATTCCCTGGAGCAAATGAACCGCTTGTAATGCACGTCTGTAATTATGGTACATGTCTATTACATGTGTAATGTAGTAGGGTTTAACAATGCGCTGTGTAAAGAATGTGCCACGTATTATGGACGTTGCAGCTGACAGTTAGTTGGTAAACTAACAAACAAACAAACAAACAAAAAAAGTGGAAAGAAGCTACCAAAACCTACGTGTGTTCGTAGCAAATATTCGCTGCAAATTTTATACGCGATTCAGTCATCTTCCATCGTTTCTGGAAGATTCTATATCGAAGTGTTCACTGTTGCACATAGAATGTTATGACAACAACAGAATAGTCATTTTACCAGAAGTTAAATCTAATTGGTTTTCCTTTTTTTTTTTTGTTTTTTGTTTTTCGGCGTAAATTTACACACTTGATTTGTACGATTGTGCAGAATATCCAAAGAATGATCTCTGCGAGTATCGAATAGATTTTCCCAGCGACTCGATCGAACTCTTAGCAATTCCGCTGGTAAATTCGAAAAAAATGTAAATAAATTCGACGCGTCATCGAACACGCGGATCTATGTATAAAAGATTTTTTAGTCATTGTGTTGTATACATATATAGAGTATGAAAAAATTGTAAAGAAAGCACTGAGCAACCGTCAGAATTGAAATTGTAAAAAAAAAACTTGATCGGTGTTCCGTATATAATTGTAATTAATTATCGAATTATTTAATAATCCCCTGTATACATTAACGCATATAATTAATCACGATGTAGGCACCTGTCAAGTTTAGCGTGTTATATACACTGCCGAATCTTCTATTAATTTTATTATTGATCATGATTATTATTTATTGTTTTTATTGAAATATTTTAATACTAAGGTTTTTGTAACAAGAATATTTTCTCTTTCATTCTTACCTTCCATAAACATAATTAAACGTTTCGGTCAGAAATCTTAATTGCAGTATGATAGAAATACGTACGTTTTTGTAATCCAATTACTCGAATAATTCGAGGATTGATACACACATTTTCAAGCGTATACCACCGAGGAAACGAAGTTTACAATTACAAGTTACCTCATTGTGTTAATCTTTGTCTATACATACACACTAACACTTTTGTTGTAAAGACGCTAGTTAAATTTAGGTATTTATTCGTTTACTGCGTGAGTGAATAATATCGAGAAATACTAGAAAATATCGCGTAATGATACAATTTTATAGGAATGGAAAAGTGTAAGCAGTATCTCGCATATATACATATTATCTAAGAAAGTACAAAGTTCTACCTGAACAGATTATATTTCATAGCGTATCTGTTTTGTACATCGAGTAATCAATGCATTAAAATATACCAGATTTTTTATCTTAATTCATTACATTTTTAACCGTACCACGACAATATTGTCATTGTATTCTTAAAAATATCGTCTACGCCAACTAATACACATTTATGTAAGAAAACAAAGTTTAATATCTTTTCGTGAATTGCGTTTCCTGTATGCACATTACGCACTGATCGTTGACTGTTCTTGATTCATTCACATGTTGGTGTCAACGACATTTGCGATACAGGTGCCAGCATGCACCTCATACTGTATACGTTTTTGTAAAGATAAATGGCATACGGGTTATGCAATGCTTATATATGCATGCACATGCATATATAAGAGGAACAGTTTATGATTTCTCCAAGTACTTGAACTTGAAATTCAAAGCGCGAAGTATGAGTTTCGTATTAGAAATTGTACTACTAATTTTACTTGGAGTTGTATACGGATGGAGTATAGAGGACACCGAAATTGTTTTACTGCCGTTATGGAATACAGAAGACAATGTGGAGGTAGCTACGTATAACGCAGTAATTAATAAAATATTGACACTGTGAAATAAGGGTTTATATTTATTGGCATTGTGCGAGACCCTCTTGAGCTTGAGGTACGGTAAAAATATTGTATACGTATAATATGTGTTATCGGTACGTAGGAATAGTTGCGTATCACGATTGCCAGTAAATAGAAACGCTCGTGTCACATTATGAGATGAAACGAACAAAAATACATACAATTGTTGTTTATGTATTAATATTGTAATTTGTAAAATTACAGGTATCCCTAAGTTTCAAGGCATTCGATCGATCCGTCGAGTTAACGTTGCGTAGGAATGACAATATCGTAGCGTCTCAGTTTCAAGTTTGGAAGCACATCAATGAAGACAACGTGGAAGAGTTACCGGAACTCGGTAAACCCGCACCTTGCCATTATCTTCACACAAACGAGTTGAGTTCGGCGGCCATAAGTCTATGCAAAGAAGGTGGAATGGTTAGTATCACGACCAATGGTCCTAACAACGGTAAATAAAATCGGTCCAAAGATAGATGTCTCTTTTTCTTTGCAGCATGGTTTCGTCTTCTTGGACAATGTCACGTTGGAAATTAGGCCACTTCGGGACCAGAAAATGTTCTTTTTCAACGACCATCATCGCGTTAGACAACGTTCGAAATTTTTCGGAGAGCCGCATATTGTCAAGAGAGCACACACTTCTCCCATGTTTTTTGAAAATGAACCAAAATGGTACGAACACAACGAGATTACAAATTACAAAACGGATCATCTTACCAGAGATGTACTCGATGAGCTAATTGTAAGACCGAATAATTCGAACGATGCTCTGACATTAGAATTGGCAGTTTTCTTCGATGAGCCTGGCTACAATCTTTTCTCGACTTTCTTCGAAAGAAACGACGAACGGATACGCGACATGCTGTTAGCCTATATAAACGGCGTTCAAGCGGTTTATCATCATCCTACGTTAGGAGTTGTAATCGACATATCTCTCGTCAGATTGGAGATTATGCAGAGACAACCGCGCGACTTGCCACATTTTGACGGTGAGAGGGGCAGCTTGTTGGATTCGTTTTGTAATTATGCTAAGAAGCGGAATCCTTCTGATGAAACTGATCCGAATCACTGGGACATGGGTCTGTACGTTTCCGGTTTGGATTTCTACGCTGTGGAGGCTGGACGAAAGAACACTGCCACTATGGGACTTGCAACGGTAGGCGGGCTCTGCATCGATCGATATTCTTGTGTTATCGTTGAATTGGGTGTTACCAATCAATTTGGAAAACCGTTCCCGTCAGCGGGTTTTACGTCCGTCTATATAGCTGCTCATGAAATTGGCCACAAGTAAACGAGTAGTAATCTATTTATGTCAATTTCTCAATTTCTTAATATTCTCACATATCCTTCTTTTCGCAAAAGTTTAGGAATGCATCACGACTCGACTGGCAATCCATGTCCGAGAGATGGCTACATAATGTCTCCGAGCAGAGGCACGGATGGCGAGACAATTTGGTCGGAATGTAGTCGTGACGTAGCGCAAAGGCTCTCTTACACGAAACCTTGTCTTACGGACAGACCGTCTCCCCAAACGAACAACCGACTCGACCATACTCGATTCTTTGATCTTCCGGGTAGAGAATGGAACGCGAAGAAGCAGTGCGAGGTACTACTACGCGATAAGGATGCGAGCGTCGCGACCCTCTACAGAAGTTGCAAGTCCTTGCAATGCAAGACCCCGCACAGAAGCGGTTACTACTTGGCCGGACCAGCGTTAGATGGAACATACTGCGCCGTAGGTCTGACGACATAGAAATAATTAATCATTTATGTCGTGTCGTACCAAACAGTGAGAAGGAGAAAATTATTGTTTCATTCATCTCCTTTTCACTTCTTGGATCTCTTTTACTTTGTACTATTCTTTTTTCATTTCCTCGTTAATTGGCGTCTACTACATACGTGCATTGTATCGAAACAGGGAAGGAATGCCGGGGCGGTGAATGCAAGAACGCGTTAAAAATTCCTACGGAAACGGATAGACCCCTGGTTGAAACAGTAGGCTGGAGCGACTGGAAACTAGGACCGTGCAGTAGTGGATGTCTGTTGAAATCTGTCGGTGCACAGGTCAGACGACGATTCTGTGGGAGTCCAATTCCGGAAAATCCAGACGCAGGTTGTCGAGGATCTGCTTACGACGTGGTCCTCTGTAGGGATGACAGACTTTGCAAGAAAAAACGTAGGAGCATAAACGAATTTGCGACATTAAGGTGCAAAGAGTTTAGCGAGAGACTGCCAGAATTGGATGGCAAGGGTGGCGGATTACAAGCGCTGCACGAGCCTGAAAGACCGTGGATGTCTTGCGCTATATTCTGTCGGCGAAAAGACATAGCATCTTATTACACACCGCGTGTAGAATTAAACGACCTTGGCCTTGACCCATACTTTCCAGATGGGACATGGTGCCACGCCGAGGAGGGACAAAATTATTTTTGTCGGCAGCATCACTGTCTACCGGAGAACTTTCGTTTCGAAAAAACACTCTCGAAGGACCGTCAGCAGGACGACATCGAATTCGGGCCCCAAAATGCTCATCCCAACGGGCTTCGTCTCGATGATCAAGTGGTTAAATATCATAGTTTAGGACCGGACGGTTTGCCACTATTGACCTCACTGTTATCGCGTAGTAGTATTGGGTTACCACCGGATGAGAACGAATGGATCGATAAAGATTACATCGAGTTAACCGAGCTGCCACAAGAAATTCTCTTCGATCTATAGCGTACAGGATGAAAAAGGAACGGGAATGATTTGAATGTTTCATTTATTTGATACTAATATATACTCGGTTCGGGGCTTAACCACTAGAGGCGTTAGGTGGTAGACTGGTAGATTACGGCTAGAAAAATCTGGCTCGGGTTAGGTTAGACGTCCTCGGTTGCCATATTGCATTTACGTTACGATTTACCCCACCACTGGACAGTCAGTGAGTCAGTGGAGACACGACTAGTCCACAAGCATAAAAGTACGGTATATACTGTATACGTGAGGTAAGTTCGATTTCAACTGCGACTCATTGCCAGCAGTTTGGTACGGTGTTCACACTGTTCCAGACCGCATAATTTTGGGAATTCAAGAAAGCCAATGCGATGCGTCTTTCCTCGCATCTCACGTCCTGTTTGCCAATAATTGATTTTCCTAACCGTCCTAATTAATTCCAGGAAATTATGTAACAATTGTATATCTATGAAACATTTAAAAATAAAGATCTTGGTAGTTTTTTAGAAATATGTCTGTAAGAATTTCCAGAGAAATTGTACTGTTTCGTAATGCAGTGTGTGAAAGTATCCGAAGAGATAGGACTATGACGTCACCTACTTCAGTGTCTATTTTAGGAGTGTTTCGATGTTATATCCAGCGTAGGGACGAATCGAGAAACAAAAGGATTGAATAATAAAAATGCAGATGGTGTAACTTAAATGTATCGATATTATTTTAGCGTACAAATAATTAACCAACCATTAAACTTAGGAAGACGCGTGACATAAGAAAACAATCAGCTCGATATTACAAATAATTACTTGTTTATACACGCACACACATGTCTGCGTTCGTGTGACAAAATGTGCCACTCATCGCTGTAAAAGTAGACAATAATAATAGAATTTACGAGTTCTTCTAAGCCAGTGTTACATATACATTTATATTTTTTGTAGAAATGAAATGAAAATACAAACGAGTTGCGATACATGGATGAGAAAGTAAGATAACGTTGAATAGATTCAAGTTGAAGATAACGATGGTGGCTTAATTTGTCGTGCGTTTTAACACAAAATTATCACTCGTTCATAATCAGGCATACACAATTTGTATACTACGCATATGACGACAAGCATACGCTCATTTACTCGTGATGCATACAGAATAATAGATACTTTGAATGTACATAATGAATAAAATAATAATGAAACCGCATTCGCAGAGTTGTACATCAACAGTCTCTTATCGTTAAATCGCATAACTTAATGTAATTCATTTAATCTTAGTCAGTATTTAGGATCGTTCTTCCCGCATGTAGAGGCAATGTACATTCTTATGTTGTACTAGAAAACCAACGCGTTTCTCCTCTTCCTTTTCCCGTTTCGTTTTAAATTACAACGAAATAAGATCTGCCAAAATTCAAATCAAAAAATTGATTTTTACATCCGACTAATGTGAAAATCACATTTTTCCTAACTATGAGATAAAATTATTATTTGCTTCGCCTCAACAATTATTATTCACAGCTCTCTAACCACGTATATTATGTACTAGAACGTACACGAGTGTTTACTCTCGTCAATTGGGACGATTAGAGGACTGTCGTTGCGATGACAATTATCCATAATATAGTATTGTTTCCTTTTCATGTTCAATTTGGCAGAGTATCGTATAGTATGTCCTTAGCACTTGGCGATAATGTTTCAGGGAATTTAATGTCGAATGAAACGAGAAGATCACCTTTCCTTGATGGTTCTTTTGGGAATGGTAAACC